GTTAGGATGATAATGCAAAAAATTCAAGATATCCAAACAAAACAAACAAACAGAACGCCACTACATACACCACAAGGCTTCGAGGACAATGTTTCAAATAAGAAACTACTTTAAAATATTTTTGGGGGAAAAGTTAGTAAAATTTTTACTTATGTGAAAAGTGTACTTTGAAGAATTTCATGCCAAAATTTTTAATTAAAGACCCAAGCAAATCCAAGTAAATCTTTTAGTGTATGTCTACTCTGCAAAGTTAATTCGAAATAACAGCCGTTATTTCGAATGAACTTTAATAGCATCTATACATGAAAACCGCTGTTTCGAAATAAATTCGAAATAGCAGAGCGCTTAATTCGAATTTGGTAAACCTCATTCTATGAGGAGTATCACCAAATTCTAAATAGCTATTTTGAATTAAATGCTGTGTAGACACTTAATTCGAAATAGGGGGCCTCCAGCCCTTCCCAGTGTGCCTTGGTGGCCACTCTGGGCACAACCAGGAAAACTTACTCTCCTCTCCCCCCAGCCCCGGAGCCATTAAAGGGGTAGACCCTGCCACAGTGCCTGTGCCAGCTCCAAGCCTGCCAGCCCAGAGCCAGTAGTAGCCACTGGGGCCCCTGCCCCAGTGGCCCCAAAACGTGAGCCAGCAAGCCACTGGCAGCCAACCCTCCACCGCTCCTAGGAGCAGTCTGCCAGCTCCCAGGAGCCTGACAGGCTAGAGAAGGTGGGCACCTTCAAGGTCCAGGGTGGAGATCTTGGATCTTATTTAGGTTTGGGGAGGATGCCCCCAACATCCATGATCTCCACACTAGACAGAGGAATGCGGCTGTCTATAGCAAGATAGCTGCCAGCCTGGCCACCAAAGGCCACATGCGAACCCAGGAGCAGGTTTGCATGAAAATCAAGTTGGTCCGGCAAGACCCCCAACCCTGGGCCCTGAGCTTCCCCTTCCCCTTCTTCCCCTTGCTTCCCCGTTCCAGCTCCCTCCTCCCAGGTTTCCCCCTCCCCTCTCCCATCTCCTTTTCCCAGTCTCTCCAGAGGTTCATTCCCCCCACCCCCCAGTTTGTTCAATAAACCCAGTTTCTATTTTTGAACATACATGTCTTTTGTTTGACATCAGGAAGGGGGGCTAGGGACAGGTAAGTGGAAGTACGTGAGGGAGGAATGGGGCACAAGCCCCTGGTAGGGAGGACCGGGGTATCTCGGAGGGCTCCTCGGGGTGGACGCTGTCCTGCAGGGCCTCGTGGATCCTGACAGCCCCGCAATGGACCCCCCCGTATGGCAGCCTGCAGCAAGTGCAGCCGGGCTGATGGCAACGACCCCACGAGACACACCGGCATGCCCAGGGGCAGCTATGGTTCCATGTGGCCAAGTGCTGTGGTGTTCCGCGTGCGGGCACTCAGGACACTCCAAGACAGGACTGCTTTGCTGTCCCTCATCGAGGTAGACAAGCAAGTGGGGAACCCTGAGAACTGTCTGTCCAGGGTGGGGATAGGGTCCCTTTAAGCATGGAGCTCAGTTAGCCTCAGGCAGCAGCCCCATACACTAAGTCCTAACCTGATGCCCTTCCGGTACTGGTTCCGGCCTTAACTTCAGTTCAGGGTCCGCTCAGCAAAATGCTATTTCAAAATAGATTTTATGTGTAGATGTGTTCTTTTGAATTAGCTTAATTCAAATTAACTATTTAGAATTAAGTTAAATTAATGATGTAGTGTAGACATACCCTACGTGTATAAATAAAATGCTGGTAGAGAAGAGAAAAGATCCCACTCTCTCTTCATTAACTACTTTTACTTTTAGTAATTTTACATTTCAGTTGTAACAACAATATAAGTTGAAAGACAATAGGGGACGTTAAGTGTTTTCATAATGCAGTTATAAGGGGTGATACATGTTAGGGAAGGGTAAGAAACAGACTCCTATGTCCAAAAATTACATCACAAAAATTGGGAGGTTAATTAAACTAGGACCAATATCTCAATACTCTGGGTTTAGTGTTGCTCAGTTCAGATTCTGGACAGGGGAAAGAAGCCCCATTTCTGTTACCAATATTAGATTTTGTTCTCTCTTTTAATAAATCAGTTGAACATAAGGAAAAACGTGAGTAGCAGTAATGTATCAACTTGATGCTTTCATGATTTTCCAGTTACCAATATTTCCCCGTAGAAGTATTTCTGTATTTCAGCTTAAACAAGGGTATCTGCTAAAAGCCAGCATCTTGGACCCTGTCAGTTGGTGTTTCATTTAGCGTTTAAGTCAGGCATGTCCAAAGTCCGGCCCGCGGGCCAATTGCGGCCCGTGTTCCGGTTTAATACGGCCCCACAGGTAATTTAGCAATATCTATCTTTTATGGCCCCAACGAATCCATATGTATTGAGATGAATACATTGTAAAATCTCAGTTAATGTCAGTTGGTCTAAATCAGTTATAAATATATTTAGACACAACATGTATACTTGGTATACTTCCTGTTGACAGACCACCTTTATTACCAATAATATGTAATGTATTTTACAATGTTCCTGACATATATTTCAGCTTCCTGGATTTTTTTTTCATCTGGCCTTCAGATATGAAAGGCAGAGTGATTTAACACCTGTTTAGATTTGTCATCCATGTGACGAAATAAAAAGTATGCCGTTTGCAATAAACTTTGCATAAAATAGTTAATTTGCATTTAATTTTAATGATTCAAAGAATGTCAGGCAAAATGGTCGGCCCTCACGCATGTTCACTTCATCAAATCTGGCCCTCTTTGAAAAAAGTTTGGACACCTCTGGTTTAAGTGGAAGCTTTTCAAGGTCAGAAAATTTGTTTTTCACCCCCGCTGGTATGCTACACCAGTGATACTAAAGAGGGATAGCTCTTTTTAGTTTAAATTATGGTTTCTGGTGACAGCTGGCAGTTTCCTTTTAAAATTTCACTAAGTTTTTAATTCATCATAGTTCAGAAGAAACCAGGGAAGAATGTTGTTTGTCCATATGGCAGATCTTAGGAATGGAACATTTTGCACCGAACGCAGGTGCACTGAATTCAGAAATTTAAAATGAGAAATAAGCGTGAAAAGTTTTAAGGCAAAATTCTCCATTATCCTGGGTCCTCCTTATGCTGTTCCAGTGACTTAAAAGCAATTGTTCTCACCCCTCCCTTTTTACCCTCCACAACACACTCAGGAGTGCCCTCGATTGAGGTACCGCTGGCCAAAAAGTTACACCACAGTCCCTCACAGCCTCAAGGGACAGGTTTAGAGGAAGAGCCCGAGGCCAGAACACCACTACACTGCAGCTATCCTTGACTGCTCATGGCCATTCAGAGCCCACAGGCAAACCAAGTTCTAGGGAATATGGAAGTCTCAGGACAGTGAAATGAGTAGCTCAGAAGGCTACTCAAGTGAGCAAAATGTTACATAAACAAGCCATTGTTTATATTATTGATTTGGACATGCATATTCAGCCCACGGTTCGCTTCGCAATTGCAAAAGGCCGAAATTGTCCTCTGTGATATGTCCTATGGATCACTGTTACAAGTTCTGCAGTTGTTCCACAAATGTAACCTGCATTAATATTAATTAGAGTTCAGCACTAAGTGGCAGGAGTTTTTGTTTGTTTGTTTTTTAAGGGGGGGGGGAGGAGAGCAATTTCTCAATAGGGTGTGTTTTACCCCCAGTCTGAGTGCCAACACAAAGCTGCTGTGTCAATTAAATCCTCCTTATACACTCAGAATAGCATGGCACAATGGCTTGTGAAGGTTCTCTGCATGGGAGAGAATTACAATTAATATATTTGCTCGTCAATTTGAAGGACTCCTCAGCTGTGGCTGCTGAACTGTTTTATTAAGTCTTATTGTTGATGTAGTCACAAGTGGATAAAAACATTGATGTGGTGACCTTCTAGTAAATGCATCACTTCCCATTGATGTAAGCAGTTGGCCAACTCTCTCAGGACGTGGCTTTGTCAGACCCTAAACTTGAATGTCCACATGTGTAAACCATAGATCGTACTCATCTAACTCACACAACTCTTTGGGATCAATACCACGTGGGGTGTTAATTCAGAGTCTAGAAAGTATAAAATGGGCGCATTTGTGTGTTTTCCCCCTCATATCATAAAATTAGAAGCCATCACAGTTTTCCTGTGCAACTATATAAGCACCAAAATAAATAGCACTGTGGTTATATAATTGAGCTACCATTGAAATTGAGCACATAGATTAAAAGTACATTAAGGAAAATGACCCCCTGATGCCTGGCTTTATAGATATTTCCCAACTATCTTTATCATGGATTTAGAATGTAAATCAATTACAGTATATCCAACATCCTCTTCACTGTATATGAACCAGTTTTCAAACTGTTACAGAATTTTAAAACAACAACACTCTTCTCAGCCCTTCTGTTTGATGACAGCAACTTAACATCTCTTTGTAGTTAAGGTACCAACATTTGCAAAGTCATCCTACTCTTGTAGGCTGCTGAATGCAAAAAGATGGGTCTTGTGATTCAGAAATTGAAAAAAAAAACATGTTTTCTATGCTCCCAGACAACTTAAATTCTCCTTTTATTTATGTTTGCAAGTACAGCAAAATGAAACACATTGCCGCTTTTTGTCCAAGTAAATAAAAACACATTGAATAGTTACCAACGTAAAAAGCTCTTTGTGTTGGATTTGGATGCTAAACAATCATGCCATAGGCAGAAAATAACCTTTGTGGTGTGCCAGTGTTTTTTGTACATTGTCTAACTCGCTTACCATTTCTTCCTGTCATGCTCAAGGCAGAAGTAAATATCTGTAATATCTGTTTTGTCCGCTAACCAGATATCATTAGTGGATCTACATGTTAATTTATTTTCTAACAGACTTAAAATCCGTAATTAACATTTTTCTTTCATTTCACTTTACATTATTCTTTTGTTAACAATGTTTTGTAGTCCTCTAAAAATAGCATTAAGTTATTTCTCTTCTATGACTACATGTATAATACACATATACATTTTCTGTCTGCAGTACGAGACGCAAAAAACTTAATCCCTATGGATCCAAATGGACTTTCAGATCCATATGTGAAGCTGAAACTTATTCCTGACCCTAAGAATGAGAGTAAACAAAAAACAAAAACCATCCGTTCAACTCTAAACCCACATTGGAATGAGTCATTTACATTGTAAGTTAAATTCTTTTGTTGTGCTGTGTTATCTATACAGCACTGCATAATTTATTGAGCTAATACTTCTAAAAACTTAAAACTTGACAACTTTTTTCTTATTTTTGTCTCCCTTGTAGTAAATTGAAACCTACAGATAAAGATCGACGGTTATCTATAGAAGTTTGGGACTGGGATCGAACTACTAGAAATGATTTCATGGGATCTCTCTCATTTGGGGTGTCAGAGCTTATGAAAATGCCAGCGTATGGATGGTATGAGGTTCCTTAGAAAACGATGCATCACAATATTTTCAACCTCAAAACTTTCTTTATGCATTTTGCATATTTTCACTTTAAATTTATGGGCCATTGCATTAAATGTGGAGCATTTAAATGATCAATATTGTCTCCAAAATTAAAATTTTAAAACCAATAGCCTGCATTTGAATTTGTGCCTGAAACTCCTACTGCAGCCAGCCAGTGCTGCCAACTCAATTCTGAGAGCAGAAATTGACATTGTGGTCTTGGTTTTGATCTTGAACCCACATGCTTGCAGCAGTACATATATCATGATAAATGTAATCTTGCTCAGAAACGCACAGTATCTGATATTAGAAAAGAGCATTCTGAGTTCTTCTCTTACTTAATGAATTACATTTCCATTACAAAACTTATAAAATAGTTTTACTACACTGTTGGGATAATGGTTAAAAATTCTGGTCCTAGTGACAGGAATGTTGCCATTGTCTTTAATAGGGATAGGATTTTGTCCTGTATTTTCAGACAGGCTAGGGTACTAAATCATATTTTAATGAGAAGTAAAATGAATGTAGTCCTTCACCATGCCCCCATGTGTTTAACAGGTACAAGTTGCTTAACCAAGAAGAAGGTGAATACTACAATGTCCCAATTCCAGAAGCTGATGATGATGGAAATGTAGAACTCAGGCAGAAATTTGAGGTGAGGACTAAATATAAGTGGAAGCAGCTATGTTTTGCACATGTTATATAATTTCATTAAACTCGGAAATGCCTTTAAAAAAATAAAGAATAAGACAGCTCATCATTGATACATATTATAATTTTTGTTGTGCATTCCTGTTGATATACTTTTGGATTAGTTAGGAGACCAGGCTGGTAGTTTCAGTGAGTAATGTTAAACATCATGGGCCTAGGACCAGCAGCATTTTAACGTTTCAGTGTTAGTTTCAGAGGATGTACAATAATTTAAGTTCGGGGGCAAAAATATTTATAAAGGGCTCTGTCCTGAATTGCTGAACTCAGTAATGTAGGTGCACATATCTCAGGCTAAGCAAATGACATTTCTTCTTCTATTCAGAAGAGAGAAACTGCCCGAGAAGCATATCTGCAAGCAGATATTGCCTGCCTACTGGGATGCAAATTGGAATGGATGGTCCTGACTCCTGTTGCAAATACAGAGGATGTTCAAACAAAGTATTTGAGTCTATCACACCTAGACAGACCCAGCAGCGACAGGGTTTGGCACAAGCAGGGGAAGCTTTGTATTTGTGGCCCTACTCTTCCTACGAGCTATATCTATGGTTGTTTTAGACGTTCGTGGCAGAGTGCCATGTTTCTTCTTTCCTAATAAGGCATTTGAGGATTTGACCCCAATTATTTATCTCAGACTTAATTAGCATGCCTGCTGTGTGCACAAACACAATACCAAATGTGTTTCTTTAGCCCGGAAATTATAACTTTTTATATTTACCAACAGACAGAATTCTGCAGTTTTTGTAAGACAGGTTAACCCAAGAAAATGAGGGAAAATCATTCAGCTTTCCAAAAGTGTAGGTGTTTCTATTGCTGTCGTGTCTATGTTGGGGTCAGCTACTATACTTGTGATCTGCTGCATAGAATCACATTTATTATATATTTGAGAAGTGTTTAAAACTCCAGTTCAAATTTTCATTTTCTTCCATGTACAATTATCCAGCTTAAATTTGTTTTGCAGTATTAGTTCTACTCAAGATCCTGTTTACATTATTCGTCCTATTTAAAGTGGACTTTTCCCTCCTCGGATTCTGAATATAGGTATTTCAAATTTAAAATGACATCTACTGCTGGCTTTAAGGCTGATTTGAAATGACATTATAGTGTTGTTTTGAGGCTAAAACGGATAAAATTGACGTTGCAGAAACAAAAAGATGTGGGAAAAATTTTAGGGTTTTTGGTTTTTCTTGATGGTTTGGGAGTAGGTGGTTATACATAATCATAACATATATCATTTGGGAGGTGTTTTTTTTTTAATTCTTACAACCTATTGTAAAAACCATTTTACCAGGGATAGGAAATGGTGCTACTGTTATAGTGCGACATATGTAAAGTTGTCCTATAAAGATAAAAACTTAAACAACTACTTCATAGTTTGTCTGGATTGTCTACAAATGTAAAATGAAAATCACAAGTCCTCAATTTAGATAATGCTGTCTTTTCGGTACCTTGTTTGAAAATATAGGAAATTTTTAAAAGTTTAAATCTCTTCTATAAATTAATCAATAATATTTTATTAAATGGAGGCTATTGCAATGAGTGGATGGCCCTTGATAGATTATCTGTGTTATTTTATCCTTTAGCTTCTTTGTATTATACAATTTGTTTGTGTGTGTGTGTTCAAATGGGTGTTGATAATGCAGGAATGAAAATCCAGTTATGCATTGCTCAGGAGAGCTACAGCAGAAAGACAGGTGCCAAAATGAAAAGAAAGTATAATGCACTTGGTGTTGGGTATCAGCTGCTGGAAGTAAATGAAGCCAATGTTTGTTTGTTTTGACTATTCGTTATGGGATAAGTGAGGGCTCCTGTTTGGATTACCATGGATCAACAGTCATGGCTCCTGGCATAACATCAGTACAGGGTACAAGGTAGGAATGTATGTGCAATGCCTATTTAAGGCATGGCCACCACATGAAGAAAAATCCAAGCTTAGGTCAGTATTATAGTTGAGAAGTGTGCAGAGACTATTTTCTTTTAAAACCGCATATATATATATTCTGTCTGGTTTGGGCATTTTACCACTAAAAAATGTGATTTTAAAACAGTGAGCAATTAAATTCAGTAAATTAAATAAAGTATGCTGCAAGCACCGAGAAAGGTGTATTGATACGCTCTTCATCATGAACCTGCTGGAAATATATATGAATTACGGAGTTAAAATACTTCAAATTTTGAACCCCTCCAAAAAACTAGGAAAAATATTCACACTTTATATTAAGGATACATTTATAAATAATATATTAACTATTTATACACAAATGGTGTTAATTAATGGTTAATTGTTTTAAAGCCCACCAAGTCAAAGCATGGCTGATCATGATAGTTTATCACCATCTCTAATAATTTCTTGGTGATTGGGCACCAAAGTAGCAGATGAAGTTCAAATGTTGATAAATGCAAAGTAATGCACATAGGAAAACATAATGCCAACTGTATGTACAAAATGATGGGATCTAAATTAGCTGTTACTATTCAAGAGACCTTGGAGACACTGTATATTTCTCTAGAATAATCTCAATTTGCAGTGGCAGTCAAAAAAGCTAACAAAGTTGGGAACCTTTAGGAAAGGAGTAGAGAGAAGGCAGTAATTATCATAATGTCACTGTATAAATCAATTATATGCCCATACATTGAATGAATACTGATTTCTGTTCTGTTCATCCCATCTCAAAAAATATATATAAAAATTGTAAAAGGTATAGAGAAAGACAATGAAAATGATTAAGAGGTATGGAACATCATCCGTACAAGTAGAAAATTAAAAGACTGGTTCTTTTCAGCTTGGAAAAAAGACTACTAGGAGAGGACTATGACTGGTGAGAAACTGAATAAGGAAGTGCTATTTACTCCCTCATGTAGCAGAAAAAGGTGTCACCTAATGACATTTGTCGGCAACCGTTCTTAAAACTACCGTTCTTAAAACTAACATAAACACTCCACACAATCCACAGTAAACTGGTGGAGCTCATTGCTCGGGGATGTTGTGAAGGCCAAAATTATAACAGGATTTAAAAAAAATAGATAAGTAAACGAATTCAAGGTCCATCAATGGCTCTGAATGCAAGCCCATGTTCTTGGTCCCCCCAGCCTCTGATTTCCAAAAGCTCAGAATAGACGACAGAGTCATTTAGTCATTGAATGTTCTGCTTATTCCCTGTAAAGCACTCGGAATAGGCCATTGTCAGAAGACAAGATACTGGACTAGAGAGACCATTGGTCTGATCCAATATGACCAGTCTTATGTTGATTCATCTACTAATGTGCTTATGCCCAGCATGTTTTTAGCGTGTTGATTTCTCTTACTCATGTGTTAACTTATCTAAACTATGTAATAAATGTATCCTTGATCTAGAGCATGGCGGGCAAAATACGCTTGAGTCTACAAAGCATTAGCACTCTAATATTAAAGTTGAGGGCACCAAGCATCTGGGGGAATTGGGCTATTTAGTTAAATTTGTATTAGCTGATTTGCCAGTAATACTCTTTAGTTAAACTTATTAACTGAAATATTAATCTACTATATTGATGTTCATATTATGAGTAATATACTGTAAATAAGTCCTGCACACTTGAAATTCCAATGAATGTTTGATTATAATAGGCATAGGATTAATTATTTCTGTGATGTCTTACAATTTTCCATCCTTGTGAGAAATTCACATTTGGCATCTATTCAGAGTCTGTGCTTATGTGTTTTAAGAGCTTTGTGTTCTGTTGTGTTTCTGACAAGCTTTGATGTAGGTGCCTGTGTAGGGGAAACCTGACTTTGCTAGCACAGCACTCTAGAAATCAAAGAAATAATCCTTCATAGAACAAATAGACACATACAACTAATGGGATATGACCAATATAAGACTATTATAATTATTTAGCTCTTGGGTGCTTTTGGTAAGCAAGACATTAAAAAAATAAAGCTCTTATTTTACTAGCTATAGCAGAATATTCAATCCACACGTAAAAACGTATATGATCTATTATAAAAGAGGCTTAGTGTATTTTTATATTTACTGTATCTTATTATTTTTTACTTTCCCCTATATAAAGATAGATTTTAGGGTTATATTTTGCATAGCAAATTAAACTTAATTTATTTTAGGGCTACATGTTTGCTAGCATAGCGTAAACCAAATTAACGGTTATTTTACTGGGGTTGCCCAGTATCCCTGCGAAGGGTACATCTGATGTTGACTCTGATCATCTCTCTTCCCGTTGTGTCCCTGTGTTGTCTGTCTACCTCTAATTTTAGGTTTGTTTGTTCATTTTTCTTTAGGCAAACTACCTTGAGTGGATAGGGAGATTATTCTGAGACATATGCTGCTGTTTGTGAGCCAGTGGCATTTTCTAGGTGCACATTGCTGCTGATCGGCCATCTGCAATCAGTTCCCAATGAGCTTTGGGAGCCTTTCGAGGAAAAAGCTGCTGATCCCAAGAGCCAGTTTACCAGAGAAGTAATTTTGTCAAGAACACGAAGGACAGGGACAGGTAGACCTGAAGAGAGATCAGAAAACAGATGATAGCCCAGAACAGGTATCAGTTAACTTATTCTAGACAGAAGTGAAAAAGAATAGAGAACCAACGTAATGCTATTGTATGTGAATACAAATGCTATTGTATGTGAATAGCATACAACGTAATGCTATTGTATGTGAATAGCAAATAAAACCAACGTAATGCTATTGTATGTGAATAAAAACCCACAAATAATATTAGATTAGAAAATGGCAGGTGAGATTTTTACAAAGCCTCAGTTGCAAAGGGTGATAGAAAACTTGAGAATTTGAAATTGTCTAATGTAAAATTTAGCAAAAATGAAGAAAAAGGAAAACTTCAACTTATGAATACATGGTCAAGGTCTCTAAGAGGCCGTGAGTAAAAATTTCAAAAATACATACTGATTCTGAAGAGCATGAGGTAGGGATGTTAAATTTAGTTTAATCAACTAAT